CGCTACATATTCGAACTAAGCACACTTTAATTACACACATATCCAAAATTCAGCCAATTCCATCCAGGGGTTAAAAAGTTAGCTGAAAGTCCTTTATGACCGACTGCAAGCACATTTTCATGCCCAAAACAGTTCCAGACAATCAGGCTGTGCGTCCGGTCTATTTCCCATGTTAAAGTCAATTCAAACAGACGAGCGACAACCATTCGAATTGTCGAACTGTCGAATGAACTGTTGAATGAACTGTCTAATGCATTAGTTCCAGGGAAGGTAAAACTTCAGCGGTGTTCGTGCCGTTCTGTAGCCGATTTCAGTTCCATGAGTTTGACAGCACACACCGCTAACTGCATTCGAATGAATCACAATGGCCGTCACCACGTGTTCGGTTTTCTAATGGCAGCCACTTCGACTACTTCGGCTGCATCCGAAGTGCCATGCTAAAACTGCAGGTTTTTTCCCAAAGTACTTAAAGGGAAACTCCAGTGCAAGGAAAACAATCCGTTTTCCTGGCACTGCAGGTCCCCTCTCCCTCCAACCCCCAATCTCCAGTTGCTGAAGGGGTCACCTCGATGTCCCACACACACTAACAGACACACACTAACAGACATACACACACACTCACTCACATTAACACATGTTTTTTTTATTTAACCCCCCACAGCCTCCTTACCTTTGGGAATGCTGTGGGGGTTCTCTTTCTCCCTGGGGGTCCAGTGGCTGCTGGGTGGGGGGTTGGCGAGGGAGCACTTCCTCTGAGCTGCCTGCTCAGCTCCCTCGTGCGCCGCAGAGTGCGGCTGGGAGCCGGAATATGACGTCATATTCCGGCTCCCATCCTCACTCTGTGGCGCGCGAGGGAGATGAGCAGACAGCTCAGGGGAAGTGCTCCCTCGTCAGTGCCGCCCGTCCGACCGGTAGGTCAGTTAGCCGCTTTTTTTGCCGCCCCCTGGAAAATGCCGCCCAAGGCAAATGCCGCCCAAGGCAAATGCCTTGTTTGCCTCGCAGCTAAAACGTCCCTGGTCCTGTTATTACATTGTAGCACAAATCAGCAGAACGAGTTATACAATGTATAGTATCTAGACTAGAGGCACATTTTAAAGACAATATGTTTTGGCATGACTTGCTATGGTAGATGGAGACCTTTATTCTTACAGCTTAGATATAGCTCTAGTTCGTCCTCAACAGTCTTTCAGTAAATCCCAACACAGTCAAAATTAGTATTTTACAGAGATTTTATTTTTATTCAATACTATTTTTGGAACGGTTGTTGAAGTGAGAGTGCTGCTTTAATATGAAAAGGGTAAATGATGGTTGTAAAACCATATAGCTCAAATTCTAGGTTTTTTTTGTCAGAACTTGGACAGTGGCCTCTGTCCCTTTAAGGGGTTAAAGTTCCCTCTCTGTCCATTTGCAATGTTGGGAAACATGTGTTCTATTTCAACTCTCTGTTTCCTGTAACTGTATCATGTGATAACTTGTCACTCAACTGGACTCTGCGCCTTTAAATAGTGGGCGTGGTCTTACTACTCCTGTACGCCTCAACCAAGCTTGAATGTTGTGACATTTCGCACCCACCCTTCTTTGCGCGCCTTTACGAGCTCCGCCAATCGCTGGCTGTTGCTATGCAGAAAAATAAAAAGGGAACCAATCAAAACTCGCGGCTGTCTGTTTCCGTGCAGGTTACACAGAAGCAGCCAATAGGATTTTGCGATGAGGCGAAGGGACGATGTTTTCTCGACCAATGGAAAAAAAGACTCCGCGGAGGATCGTGAGACGGCGGTAGGTTGATTCGCGGGTATTTACCCGGTGCCCCGGGGTGGCTGGCACCGGGAGGGGCGTGTTCGGCGATGTCGGTCAGCGGTCAGGGAGGTGTTACTATGGCGACCTGGCTGCAGGCCGGGGCTAGTAACCTCCCCGGGGGGGGGCAATGAGAGAGCGGGGTATAATAACACTGCAATCACAGCCCGGGAGGGAGAGAGCGGGTATAATAACACCGCAATCACAGCCCGGGAGGGAGAGAGCGGGTATAATAACACCGCAATCACAGCCCGGGAGAGAGAGAGAGCGGGTATAATAACACTGCAATCACAGCCCGGGAGGGAGAGAGCGGGTATAATAACACTGCAATCACAGCCCGGGAGGGAGGGAGCGGGTATAATAACACTGCAATCACAGCCCGGGAGGGAGAGAGCGGGTATAATAACACTGCAATCACAGCCCGGGAGGAGAGAGAGCGGGTATAATAACACTGCAATCACAGCCCGGGAGGGAGAGCGGGTATAATAACACTGCAATCACAGCCCGGGAGGGAGAGAGAGCGGGTATAATAACACCGCAATCACAGCCCGGGAGGGAGAGAGAGCGGGTATAATAACACTGCAATCACAGCCCGGGAGGGAGAGAGCGGGTATAATAACACCGCAATCACAGCCCGGGAGGGAGAGAGCGGGTATAACAACACCGCAATCACAGCCCGGGAGGGAGAGAGAGCGGGTATAATAACACCGCAATCACAGCCCGGGAGGGAGAGAGCGGGTATAATAACACCGCAATCACAGCCCGGGAGGGAGAGAGCGGGTATAATAACACCGCAATCACAGCCCGGGAGGGAGAGAGCGGGTATAATAACACCGCAATCACAGCCCGGGAGAGAGAGAGCGGGTATAATAACACCGCAATCACAGCCCGAGAGGGAGAGAGCGGGTATAATAACACTGCAATCACAGCCCGGGAGGGAGAGAGAGCGGGTATAATAACACTGCAATCACAGCCCGGGAGGGAGAGAGAGCGGGTATAATAACACTGCAATCACAGCCCGGGAGGGAGAGAGCAGGTATAATAACACCGCAATCACAGCCCGGGAGGGAGAGAGCGGGTATAATTACACTGCAATCACAGCCTGGGAGAGAGAGACCGGGTGTAATAACATTTCACATGTGCATTATCTCCCATTTTGGTTAAAGCACTCTCACTCAATTCACTCCTCATTCACCTTGTATGAGTCCATGTTATATTCTCATATTTTAATAAATGCAACCCTCAGGCGTATCTTTCCTACTCATGTACTTTACCTGTTTCTAAATCTTAGCAATGCAATCCTGATTAGTTTAAAGATTCAATATAGAATCGTGCAATCGTTCAAGGGTAACAGTCACTTCCCAGGATTTTAATAGGATCTTTGCAAGAAAAAC